AAATTTGACACCATCAGATCAGGATTAAACAAAGACTGTGAATGGCTAGCCAACTACAAAAGCAGTTTCTCCTTCCTTGGTGTTCACAACTCAACTGCTAGAAGAGGGCCTCACCGGCCCTGATTTAACTAACCTCGTTATCTCCAGACTGATTATTGCCTGCATATTTATACCTGCCTCTGGAAATTTCCATTACATGCGTCTGAGGAAGTGGACATTCACCCACGAAAGCTTATGCTCCAATACATCTGTTAGTCTTTAAGGTGCCACAGGACTCTTTGTTGCCCAACCAGGGGTTCACCTCTACTAGCTACATTGAGATAATCTTTATGTGCACTTTGTCTACACTGGAATATTATTACATCAGGAGACCTATTTCAACGTGCAACACTTTTTTTTTTTTTTAAGTAATACATAGCCTATATTGTAAGCTCACTGGGACAAGGGCCACATCTTCCCAACCTCTGTTCATTGCTGAACACAATGCTGACACTGAACAAACATTTTTTTGACCCACACTTAGCACAATGGGGTCCTGGTCCATGACTAGGCTCCTAGGCACTACAGTAGGACAAATAATAATGTAATTGTAACTTGAAACATTTTGATCAACTCCAGCTCCCTGATCTTGCCGGTCATGCACACGTTTTCACACAAAAGGATGCCCATGCAGCTTGTAATAGTTTTTAAAATAAATCTAAAAATGACATATTTTTCCTTCCCACAAACTATCAAGTGTTTTTACAATGTGAATTTTAAAAACCTCAGTAAAAGAACTCAAGTTTTCAGAGTTCACTTTCACATAATAAATTCACTAGTTTCTTTCATCTAGTCACCTCAAGTAGATTTTGAAAAAAACATACAAAACAATATTTGACACCATTAAAACTTGATGCCCTCAAAGGTATTTACAATCATATATACTTGTACCCGTGTTGCTCGCATTCTGATCCTACCCCAAAATCCTCCCCACTTTTTCAACTTTTAACAATTAAATATTGACAATCATTTTCTTTTAAGGGCTTAGCTTCACTAGGAACTTTAATTATGTTTACATTCTTTTTAACAATTGCGCTATGGTCAACATGATGTTACCTGACTTATGTGAGACAAGGATAAGCCATGTTGAGCACTATGACAGTTATTTGTGAGTAAATCTTGCTCCGAACTGGGTTTGCTCATAATTAGTGCAAATGATAATCATAACTTGCCATTGTTTCTACCAAAGAGGCAGCATCCTATCAGCTAACCCAACTGTAAAAAAACTGTTAAAAAGTATTTAAATACAAGTACATTTCCTAATGAAACTGATTCCCAAGAGCTACAGGGCAGGGAGAAGTTGAATACGTTTTTTACATTATACTTTTCTGAAGAACTGATTAGATGTGACTCAGCATATCTTTGCAATCTTTAACTCTTAAAGATTGCATTTTGTAGATATGTAAAATATTGCTTGAAATATTTAGAACAGGACAAGACAAAGCAATATGCTATTTTAATTTTATAGACTCATACAACTCAAGGAAGAATGGCCAAGTGGTTAAGAGTTCCGGCGTTGAAATCTTGGCTTTGTCACACATTTTCTATGTTACTATGAGCAAGTTAATTAATTTGCCTGTGCTTCAGTTCTCCATTTGTATAATAGGGATAACTACCTCACAAGGTGGTTTTTAGGATAAGTTATTAATACTGGGGAAGTGGTCACATACTCTTGATTATAAATGGCACGGGAATAAAAGGCTTTGAATAAAAATACGACATGAAAATGGACCTATTAGGTCCCATCCAGTCCAGAGCTTGGGAAATCTGCTGTGCCAGTGGTGAGAAAGAAGCCTTTTCTGGCAAGAGAGCGCCAAAAACACAAACTATAGAAACTTTCATGTTGTAAAAGCGTACAGCTCATACGAATGGAAAAGGGTCTTTCTAAACGTGAATCAGTGAGACCTTCAGGCTTCCCACACCAGCCCCTTGGCTGCTGCCCACAATTTCCCCAGGCATCAGAAGAGCAACTCAGTTATTCGAAACCTGTCGAGCAAACGCGAAACTGACCAGAACCGAGTCAATTTCGCTCCGCAGCACTTCTGCTTGGGGAAACTATGATCCCTAGCACAGGAAGCCAGACAGGAGACAACCCTCAGGGAAGGGGTAGATTCGCTCCCATCGACGCCACCTGCAGGCCCCCTTCAGCGCCGTAAGCCCCCGGCCCCCTGCTAGGCCCCATAGCCAGAGCTCTCGTCAGCTCTCCCACAGTCCTCCTAGGCCCGCGCCATAACTCCTAGCGCCACTGCTGCCCACGCCCCCTCCCCAGGCAGTCGCACCGCAGGTCTCAGGTACCTGCTCCTCCCAAGGCAGCAGCCATGGCGCCTCCTCCTGCGCGGGCGGCGGCCGCTCCTGGCGGTGCCTCCCGCAGTTGCAATGAGGGCTCGGAGTGGGGGGAAGGCCTCGGACGCAGGCCCCGCTCGGCGCCCGGCTGCAGGGGGCGAGGGTACTCCGCCCTCCCGCCGCCTGCTCTGCACCACCAGCCGCAAGAGAACAACAAACTAACACAACATGGCGGCCGCCACTGACGGCTGGGGTTCGCGGCCGCAGCGCATCATGGGATCGTGGAGGGCTAACCCTCCCCCCCAAGAGCGGAAGGCAAAGAAAGGCCGCTGGTTGGCTGGCTGAGGAAGACCGCACCGAGGCTGTTACGATGGGCGCATGCGCCGCACTTGCCTCTGCAGGAAATACAAAGACTGGCTGAGACGCAATGCGCATGCGCCAAAAGTGACCGAGCCAATCTTGGTGACGTATTCCGCAGTCTACTGGACAGGCATGTAGCTACAGCCGGGGATGCTGGAGACAGAGCTGCGGGCTTCAGTGCGCATGCGCTTAGGACTGCTGGCGCTGGGCTGAAGGAGAGCTGCTCCAGGGAGCGCGGTGGGCCGAAGTCGTCCCGCCTTGGGGCGTGCGCACTGGCTTCGCTGGAGTGACGCGGCGCAGCGCTGCTCAGAGGGTTGGCAAACCCAGGCCCTAGTGGGTGCAGGGCCTAGGACGAGCACACCCGCGCTGCCTGACAGAGAGAGCTGCAAGCTGGTCTGGCAAGATGCTGCACCCACCTGCCCAGGCGACCCAGGGGCCCCTGGTGGCCGGTCAGGGATCATGTGTAGAAATCCGGTCAGAGAATAATGGCAATGTAGGGCTGCATGGGACCTTGCGAGATCAGCTCCCACCCCCTGCGCTGAGGCAGGACTAACTCTAGAGCAGTGGTTTTCAAACCGAGGGTTGAATGTAAGGCACTGGGTCGTGGTGGCGCTGATCAGCACTGGCGACCAGCCGTTAAAAGTCCCATCAGCGGTGCTGCCCGGCTAAGGCAGGCTAGTCCCTACCTGTTCCTACACCGCACTGTGCCCCAGAAGCGGCCAGCAGCAAGTCTGGCTCCTAGGTGGGGCAGCCATGGGGCTCCACGCACTGGCCCCACTCTGAGCACTGGCTCCACACTCCCATTGGTTGGTTCCCGGCCAATGGGAGCTGGGTGCCTGCTGGCGAGAGCCATGCAGAGCCATTTGCGAGCCTCCGCCTAGGAGCCAGACGTGCTGCTGGCCGCTTCCAGGGTGCAGTGCGGTCCGTGGTACTAGGACAGGCGGGAAGCCTGCCTCTGCATCTTGGCTGCGCCACCGACTGGGAGCCACCAGAGGTAAGCCTGTGCCCCAAGCCACTGCCCCAGCCCTGAGCCCTCTCTAAACCCAGAGCCCCTTCCTGCACACTTAACCCCTCATCTCTGGCTGCACCCCAGAATCTGCACCCAGAGCCCTGACCCCCTCCTGCACCCCAGCCCTGAGCCCCCCCAAAACCCAGAACCCCTCTTGCACCCAAGACCCCTCATCCCTGACTCCCTCCCACACCTCAACCCCCTGCCACAGCCCAGAGTCCTTTCCCACACCCTGAACCCCTCATTCCTGGCCCCATGCCACAGCCCTCACCCCCACACCCTAATCCTCTGCCCCAACCCTGAGCCCCTCCCACACCCCAAACCCCTCATCCCCAGCTCCGTTGGGGTGTGGGCATCAACAATTTTCTTCAACTGGGTCGCCAGAAATTTTTTTTGAAAACCACTGCTCTAGATCATCCCTGACAGATGTTTGTTCAGCCTCGTCTTAAAAGTCTTCAGTGGTGGAAAGCATGTGTAGTGCTTAACTATCCTTATAATTAGAAGTTTTTCCTAATAGCTAACCTGGCTAAATGTCCCTTGCTGCAGATTACTTCTTGTCCTACCGTCAGTGGACATGGAGAACAATTGATCACCATCCTCAACAGCCCTTGCCATGTAAAGACTATTATTAGGTCCCCTTCAGTCTTGTTTTCTCAAGACTAAATTTGCTCGGGTTTTTTTGGCTTTCCTCATAAGTCAGGTTTTCTAATCCTTGTATCATTTTTGTTGCTCTTCTTTGAACTCGCTCCAGTTTGTCCACATCTTTCCTAAAGTGAGTAACCCAGAATTGGACACAGTACTCCACGCTGAGGCCTGACCAGTGCCAAGTAGAGGTCACATCTCAGTGCAGGCAAACAGATTTTGTGTCTGAGCTAATAATTTTATAATGCTTTCACAGATCTTTTCTAGCATCTGTGCTAGTGCTTAGAAATAGAAAAGACCAACTAGATCATGCATCCCCCTGCCTAGGGCTCAGATTGGGTGAAAAAAGGTGGCAGTACTCCTATAAACTCCACCCACAAAATAAATCCCACCCATTGAATCACCAAAATGAGATGCTATTTACACAGTCAATTGTGCAGATGGCCTTCTTGAGTTTAGCTCCTTCACTGGGGCTTGAATATGCCCATGGGCCCAGCCAGAATTCTTGGGTTCAGCTCCTTGATTGTAGGGGGGGAAAAGTTGTATTTCCCAAATGCCACGCACTGGTGACACCAAAGAGGGGTCACTTATGTTGACCACCACAGGGCATCTGACTAAGCTGCCACTGAGATGAATGGATGGTTCATACCTCTGAGAACTACTGTGCCAGTCTCATCTCTGCATCAGTTACACTGAGGGCAGGTCTACACTAAAAAGCTGTAGCACTTTAGTGGAGATACTACAATGCCAATGGGAGAGCTTCTCCCATCAGTGTAGTTAGCTACTGCCTCTTGCGGAAGTGGATTATGTCAACGAGAGAAGCTCTCCCATCAACATACTGTGTTGTCTACACTGGGGATTAGGTCAATATAACTCGTTCAGGACGAATCAGGAGTGTGTATTTTTCGCACCCCTGAGCAATGTAGTTATGCCAATGTAAATTTGTAAATTCAGTCTCTTTTTTGAGGTTTTCGTTTCAATAATAATGATTAGAGACTTACTTTTTGTCTCTTTCCAGGGACCCACCCAGACTTACAGCCAAAAATTAACTGCATTTTAACACATAGTCCTTCTGCAGGAACTGCCTGCTGGTACTTTAACACAACCCTTCAGATTGAATTTTATGGAGTCAGAAGGTACAATCCTGACCCCACTGAAATCAATGGTAAAACTTCTATTGACTTCAGTGGGGCCAGGACTTCCCCCAGTACATCTTGGTGTCAACCTTCCTTTTGTGTAGATGCTTTGCAACACAAAAGGAAACTCATTGAGGTTTCCCTCCAAACAGGACAGTGAATTAAACCTTCCTATGCTCCTTAAGGAAAGGTTTGATGATTGCATCAATGACCCCTAATGAAAAGCCATTACAAGATGCAAGTCTGCTCAGGCTTCTAATTATTTTTGCAGATTTTCTCTGAACCTCTTCTATTTCTCAGATGGAAAATTGTGTTCATTGAAAACAGTATTCAAAGTGAGGACATAGCATCAATGTATAAATTTTCTTTATTGTTTTCTTTTTCTACCAGTTTGATTGCTTTTAATGACCAGCAATGTATATTAAACGTTTTCATTGAGTTATACTATATCAGCCATATAGAGGATTAAACAAACATGTTATATTAAATTGATATCACACTTCGGGCTAAGTTTTTCATCCTGCTTTGGGCACTTGATACTATTCTGATGGCACAAAGAGGCCATTTCTTTAAGGTTTCCAAACCCCAGTTGCACTAGTGCATGCATCCTACAAGTGGGACAATGCTTAGGCAACAAAAGCAAAAGACAAAAGTCAATCTGTGGCAATGGGGCACTATGGCTCATCAATGAGAGATTTGTATCATTGGTTCTTGAGATCATTTCAGAACATAAGCTAGAGCTTCATCCTTTTGCTGATGATATGCAAAGGAAGATTAAGAATCCTGATAACACTGATAAGAATCCTGATAAGTATGACTTTTTCGTGGAAAGCCATGTGTCAGCTATTGTACAACGGTGTTTTCCAGTTGCACATTTTGTGCAGGCTCCTCCCCTATTTACCTTGTGACAACTTTGCAAAAGTAATGCATGCCCTCATACTACAAGGTTTAATTACCATCATTCCCACTGTCTCTGGCTTTTGGCTGCACCCTTGTATCGTTCACAACTTGGTCAGAATGCAGCAACATGTTTGCTGATTGTTTTGAACAACCATTATCCTACGACATTCACTCTGTGCTCTTTACATCTCAAGTTTGTGCTGTTGATTTTTAAAGCTTCTGATGATTCAGGCCATGATGATATCTCAGACCTTTGTCTTGAGCCTTGTCCAAACAGGTGCCTGTATCTCCTCCTGACCTCTTATGATTTTTACTGTGCCTTAACATAGAATTTGCATTTAATAAAAGTATGGCTGCGGGCGCTGCTCTACTAGCACCATTCTCTTTTACTTGAGACTTTCCCTTAAGTGAGGTTGTGGTCCTTCATCTTTGATATCAAGCTACTGTAAATGCTCTTTATTTTTCATAAGGACTCTCCAGGCTCAAAGTCCTTAAGTCTTTCTTCTGAATTACCATGATTCTTTTAGACGCATCTCCTGGATTGCTTGGACCTTGACTGCCTCTGCTCCGTTTCCTTTGCGTTATGCTTATCTAGTGCTGACCTCATAGATTCATAGATTATAAAGGCCAGAAGGGACCACTGTGATAATCTAGTCTTACCTCCTGTATAACACAGGCCACAGAACTTTCCTGAATTAACTAATTCCTGTTTGAATCAGAGCATATTTTTAAAGAAAAATATCCAATCCCCTCTCCATCCATCCTCATCACTGCTGGTGGAAGGAGCGTTTTCCTCCATGTCTGTTGTTATCCAACACAGCCTCCCTGTATCTCTAGAACTCACTGACTCTCTCTCCAGCACATTTTGCCTCTATCTTTTTTCTCTTTCCTACTGTACATCTCTCAGTTTCTCTCTCCCTCTGCTGTTATTTAGGACTGTAGTTGTAGTACCTGACTGTGTACGGTAGTTACATTGTATGAAGACCCTGAGCTTCAGTTTCCTCATTTGTAAAATGGGGTTAAAGATACTTCTCAATACAGTTTGAGATCTATGGATGAAAACCAGTATAGAAGAGCTAATTATTAAATATTACTGAGAGTTTAATGAAAATCATGTGTTGTCATCTTGGCTTCCAGTGCAGAGTCATTAGCTGACCGTGACCTGGGAATATGGCAGATCATCTTTTAGGTGGATTAATCATAACTATGGAAAATTATGTGGCCTAGTGGATT